AACTCTCGCGATGATCCATCAACCAACAGGGTGACGAGACTAAGCATAGCTGATTACAAAATAGAACTCCGACAGGGCCCGTGATAGCAAAAACGCGCTCTCGGCAACTTGTAGGAGCCCGTGGTCGAAAGAGGCAGTTTCACCTCACTCTACTTGGTGGGAGAAGAACGTAAGACGCGAAGATAGGGGACAGTTATAGCAGGCAAGAAAGCGACCCCTACTTCCTCTACATAGACACACCATAACAACAACAACATGACAATTTGACTTATATGCCACAACGAGCATAGGAACAAGCAATGTACCCAGTACTTTGGACGGAAGTAGTAGTAGGACGGTAATAGTATCAAATCATCATCAGTTCATTGATACTACCACCACGTAGTCAACAGGTGATGAAGAGCTCCACTCAGTAGGAGTACGATCGACATCACTCTGTGACCAGCAGCAGACAGTATCAGGTACACGTATAACGACAAGATGGAGGACACAGCCAGGGAAGAAAAAACATAAAATCATCGAGTTTTTGCGAACCTTCGAACCACAAAAGAATGTCACAACGATGCTTTAGGCAGCATTAGAAGGATTAGATGAGATGTAGGCATGCGCTAGCCTACAGGAGAGATCTGTCACCACACTATGAAGCCTGTCACCATCCCATGATGTAAATATTTTATCATCCAACACTCGCTCTCCTCTAGAGCCCCACTTATCCCATAGGGAGTCTACTGATGACAACATTAAAGTGTGTTTGTTCTTCAACGTCTGACGCTCATGCTTGGTGAAAATGTGCTGCTCTTTGTCAAGTTGCATTTTCCTGTCGAAGTCACTGATAACCAGTAGCACAGATAGGGGTTTCGAATCTTCATTTAAATGCTGCCTTTGCCGCTGCCACTGCCGAAGTCGAAGTTCCAGCATTCTCAAATCGTCCTCCTGAGAACAGATCGAGATGACACCAAATCCACATCAGAACACCTACAATGCGCTCGTCATCTCGGACTTCTACTTCATTGCTAGAGCTTCTACCATGCATTGCCTCCGTATTCCCACCATCGTGGCGGCGACCATGTCCAAAGCCGAAGCCAAAACAGCCGCACTCAACGCCCTCTACAGCACTCACTCGGCAGACCCCAAGTCAACCCCAGATACGTCAGAAGATACCCCAGCTGAAGAGGGTGTCGACGACTGGGCTTGGCCCTCACTGCGCGGTGAGTCGGGAGCCCATGGCCTGAGCCGGAAGAGCACGTCTGCAGCTAAGACGATATAAGCATGTATGATAGCCGCCGAGAAACTAGT